CTGACTGTTTGTCAGCCTGGCTACAGAGCTGAAGAGAAACCTGGGGTTGTTCTTATTTTCTTCAATCAGTGATGAATAGTAAGATGTTCTGGCTTTGCAGAGGGCTTTCTTATAAAGCAGCAAACTATTTCTCCAGGCTAAATGATGATCCTCTAAATTTGTGACACGCCATTTCCTCTCCAGATTACGATGGCCCACACCCTTTTTCACACTTTCGATAGTGGGTCAGCGACCCTCTCACTGGGCTTTAAATACCTGGGACTCTCCACCAATTGGTTTTAGAACTGAAGAAACTTTGTGGATGAAATGTAAAACTTAAAGAAGTCCACTCGCTTTCTCTCCAGCTCTGTTAGGCCTTTATCCAGGAGACTCGTGGAGAGAAAGGCAGGCAAGAATCTGCAGTCTGTAAAATTAAATGTTGAATAACCAGAAATTATAGAAGAAAACTTTATTTATACAGCTTTCACATCATGTTAACCACATTTTTTTCTAATTTGTTAGTATCACCTCCAAATCCTGAAACAACTTTAGGAAAGGTTAAAAAACAAAGAATACAAATTTCCTACAGTTACAAATACTAACAAAACACACAGTGGAAGAAAGACTTTTCCACAAAGATGGAGTGATGAGGAAAAGAAGCAAAAACATTAAAATGGTAAATAAACAGCCTGTATTTGTATATTTAGTCCCTAAGGACCCCAAAGCGCTTTACACATTCAGTCATCCACACATTCACACACACAAAGCACCTTGAGGCGACTGTTGTTGTGATTTGACGCTATATAAATAAAATTGAATTGAATTGATGTTATTTGACAAACCACATATAATGTGACAAAGTAAAGGCACTTCTGAGCTCTCTCTACTCCACCTGTTACTGAAACATTATTTTTACTGACCGACAGAAGAACGCAGTCTTTCAAACGGACTACAACTTCTCAGCTGTGTGAGTTTTTGTGTGCCGAGACAAGTGACTTTTTTGACTAAAGTTTTTCCCACATATTTCACAATGATAAGGTTTCTCCCCGGTGTGGATTTTTTTGTGCGCACACAGAACACTGCTTTGACCGAAACTTTTCCCACATGTTTCACAAGAATATGGTTTCTCACCAGTGTGAGTTTTCTTGTGGCGAGACAAGTGACCAGCTTGACGAAAACTTTTCCCACAGATGTCACAATGATACGGCTTCTCGCCTGTGTGGGTTTTCTTGTGGAGATACAGAGCACTGCTTTGACCAAAACATTTCCTGCATATTTCACATGAATATGGTTTCTCGCCTGAGTGAGTGGTGATGTGGTAAGACAAACTATTTTTAGCACTGAAACTTTTCCCACATGTTTCACAACAATATGGTTTCTCTCCTGTGTGAGCGGTGATGTGGCGAGCCAAACTGCGTTTTATACTGAAACGTTTCCCACATGTTTCACAACAATATGGTTTTTCACCTGTGTGGATTCTCATGTGCATAGACAAGTGATACCTTCTCACGAAAATTTTACGACATATTTTGCACACGTAGAGTTTCACATTGTTTTGGATCATGTGATGCTTCTTTCCCCGGGAAATACTGAAAGTCTCATTACACTGGCTCACTGAAATCGGCAAGCTGAGCTGGTAAGTTTCCTTTCCCTGACGTCCCTTGTTTGGCTTTGACCCTGCATCTTCAGTTAACCCCGACCCTTCTTGCTTGCTCGTTTCTTGATCTCTGCTTTCAGTTTCAGGAGAGTTGTCAGAGAGGAGCTGCTCGCTATCTGTTTCTGAGTCGCTGTGGTCACTTTCCTCACAAGTAGCTGTTAGCATAAAGGTATTGGTCCCGTCCTCGAGCAAAAGTTGTCCTTGTGGTTCCTCCTGGCCCAGACTGGGGTTCCTCTCTGGATTACAGAACTGCTGCTCTTGGAGAACCTCCTTGACATTCTGGTGATGCGGGAGTTCTGAAATGACAAAAGTGATACAAGAAAAGAGTAAGTATACTCACAATTGTCTCCATTTTCATAAATGGTGATCCAGTTCCAGGTCTTGGGGGTGGTGGAGCCTGACCCAGCTGTCACTGGGGAGGTGTAGCTGTTACAGCCCACATAACAGTAAAGTGTTATCCGAGATGGGGTGTAACACAAAGTGAAAAACTATTAACCACCGCATAGTTAACGTAAGTAAAACACAATTTATTTTACAATTAATGCAAATGAACCAATTAGGACCAAAATCAAACAGGGAAGCTCCAAGCGTCAGGGTCTTTGAAGCCAAAACAACAAACAAATCGCAGACAAGAAAACAAAGTACAATGGCCGAGCTCACTGTCTCACCACAAAACAGGAGAAAAGGCTGAAACAAAAACCTCCGAGAGCCTGAACATGCTTCCAATGTGGATCACTACAGTTACCTTTACTCACAAACACAAAGTCACACCAAGCTTCACAGGGTTTACACAGCTACAGCATGCTGCCCAAATCACTGCAGCTCAAAGCCAGGGAAAAGGGAAGAAAGGGGCATGGCATTTAAGATGGCGGTCTTTATGAGGTGGGTGACGAGCTGCGACACATCACATCCGGTTATGAGGCAGACCTGAAACACAGGAGGAGGAGAATGAGCTCTCTGGCATGGGGAGAGCCCCTAAAGGTCAGAGACCGTACCAACAGCCTACACACTGAAGTGAGGCTGTGCAAGCTATATGTCCTGAACACACACAACAGTCAGGACCCGGGCCCAGCAAGCCGAGGGGCTATGGGACTCCCATCCCTGCCCACCGCCTCTCACTGAGGGCACCTCCAGACTGGAACAGACTCCAGTTCAAATCCACGAGGATTTTCCTAAGCCCAAGTCGTGCATAGAGATGGACCTGACTATATCAAGCCGGTCTCTGTTAACCTAATGCACGAGCTCCGGCTCCTTCCCACCAAAGAGGTGACCTTCCATGTCCTAATAGCCAGCCTCGTTGGCTGGGGATCGGACCACCAAGGCCTTGACCCCCGACGACACACACCGAATGAAGGTGAAGCAGCAGTCCTACCAGGTCTGATTAGCTTGTGGAGACTTTGGTGATACTTGGTAAAGGTTTGGTTAGGCAGAGGAGCCAGACTCGCAATCATCCTCAAAGCACAGAGGGATCAGGATTCAGGAATAATGAAAACGTACTGAGTGCACCAGTGCTCCTCCTCAGACTCCTCGCAAATACGCGTATGTTACCTCACCTTGAGGTCAAGGTCACTGGGATTTTAGTAGGGGTGGAAACTGATAAGCATTCCTTATCAATTTTCCTCGTTCCTTGTTAGCAGCATAATGCAGCTGTTTCTGTCCTGGAGCAGTCTCCCCTTTACCATCACGCTCTCATCTTTTTTCCTATAAAAATAAAAGTAAGGTTCCTGTCCACGCTGAGACCACGCCACTATTTTCCTCCTCCGACACACAAACTAATCAGCTGATTGTAGCGAGAGTGCAAGAACCTATAAGCGGGATCAATAGGTAGGCAGACTAATGATTCCAAGGAATTGGAGTACTGGGAACTGGTTCTTGATTAGCATCCCTAGATTTTAGCAGCTGGACCAACAGCATCAATTTGAAAATCCAACTTCACCTCATTCTCCTTATTTAGACTCTTTTCCTCCAATTGATCTTTCTGAGTTAACTTCAATAATTACTTCCTCCAAACCATCAACGTGTCTTTTAGACCCCATTCCTACAAAACTGCTCAAAGAAGTCCTGCCATTAATTAATTCTTCGATCTTAAATATGATCAACCTATCTCTAATGATCGGCTATGTACCACAGGCCTTCAAGCTGGCTGTAGTTAAACCTTTACTCAAAAAGCACCTCTAGACACAGCTGTTCTATCCTTGCAGTTGCAGAAAGGTGCAATGAAGAATCTTTGGAAACTGCCAAGCAAAGACCGCTTGAAGAGGTACACCAGAGAGAAGGAAGCCATCTGCCATCACAGTGGCAGACATCCAAGAAAGGGTCTCCAGTATGAAGAGTTGGACAGCACCAGGCCCTGACTGGTTCATGCCTACTGGCTGAAGAAGCTGACCGCAGTCCACGAGCGCCTGGCAGCACAAATGAACCAGCTGCTAGCTGACGAGAGACACCCGGAATGGCTAACCGAAGGCCGGACGGTCCTGATCCTCAAGGACCCCCAGAAGGGACCGGTCCCCTCCAACTACCGACCAATAACCTGCCTCAGCACCACGTGGACGCTCCTGTCGGGCATCATAGTGGGTAAGATGAACAGGCACATGGGTCAATACATGAGCGGGGCACAGAAAGGGAAATGTGGGGGGTGACGGTAACAGTGGTCCTAGTGGGAATCGGAGCACTGGGTGCGGTGACTCCCAAACCAGGCGAGCGGCTCCAGCAGATGTAGGAACAACATCGGAGCTTGGCAGGGTCACAACAACATCCCTCCAGCCTTTCATGGCTGAGAGGGAAAAACGATTAGAGAACAAAGATTCTGCACGACACTCATTCTGAAGGAGCTGGAAAACTAGCTAAATCTACCAGGAGGACTCGAGTTTGTGAAGAGTTTTCAGCGTCAAAGTAATGCAGCAACATTTATGAGAACATGCAGAGACACAAACAGAAAGCAGCCGTCATTAGACTGACCTCAGACAGTCACCGGTGAAGGAGCGGCTCGCTTTAAAAGCTCGTCTTTGACCCCGGAAAACACATCACTGCTTCTCCAGCTAATTTTCCCTGAAGATATTTCTCAGCAGTTTGGACGCCTCTGGACAGTGGAACGACCACATTCAGTCAAACTCGTCTCACACTTCATAAGAACACAACTTCTCACCTGACGCTCCATCCTTGTTTCCTCGTTGATCCTGGCTCTCAGCTCCAGCAGAGCTGTGACAGAGGAGCTGCTCCCCGTCTCCTCCTGGTTCACTGTGCTCTCCTTCCTCAGCAGCAGTCACCATGAAGGTATCCGTCTCCTCCTTCAGTCCCAGCTGCTCTCCCTCCTGACTGCTGCACAGTTCCTCCTGTTCCTCTTTAATCTGTGGAGCTTCTGGTTCCTCCTGCTCCACACTGGAGCTCCTCTCCTGGTTCCAGAGCTGCTGCTCAGGGAGAACCTCCTCCTCCTCCTCCTCACAGACTTGCTGCTGTGGGACGTCTGGAGAGACAGAAGAAAGAAGTCACAACCACAGAAACATTAACAGGACTTTACAGCATGACTGCGTCGCTCGTGTGAGAGTTCAGCACATCTTTACATGTTTTATATGAAAGTGAATATAAATACACGCCGAGCGCCGAGTTTTCTGTAACACGTTTACTTATTAAAGTGAGAGTCAAAGGTCGCCAACATGTCCTCCCTGAGCCACCCATGAGCACCTCCACCACCTGCTCACGCTACTCTGATGTCATCACCCATTTACCTGCACGCCATCTCAGACTGTGTGACGACCTGCTGCAGGTACGATGGAGAGCGCGAACTGAAGCCAAAAGGCAGAACTGACGTCTCCAAACCAGGTTCTTTTTTCCCACGAAGAGAAAGACCTTTAATGCACCATTCACTGAAACAGCCTGAAGTGCAAAGACCTGCGACCTCCGGAGGAAAGCCCTCGTGATGATAAACACAGACGTGCAGCGGAGGCATTTTTCTCTGCCTTGGATCTGACTTGCATCAGTCACATGACGACTGTTAACCAATGCTCGCCCTCGGTGGCAGAGCGCGCTGGTTACACGCTCGCAGAGAGCGCGTGCACGTTTTGCCGCCTGGCTGATGTGGCGCTGCAGGGGAAACATCTAATATGCATATCCACACATTAGACCCACACTGTGTTTTAAAGAAAACACATTAAAAAGTGATTATATTATATTTACATTCACGACAACATTTTACAGCAGCAACATTATTGTATCTCCACAGTTCAAACACTGAATCATCTGCCAGACACACTGACTCGTCATAGATTTTACATTCATCACTTCACTATTAATACATTAGGGAAGATTTCTGGATCAGCACCGTGATGCAAACTTGTGGCTACAGCATACTGGAGAGTGTGTCTGACAGCTCGCGTCTCTCCTGTGGACTCGGCCTCAGATCAACACAGCCTGCCCTCCAACAGTGTACCAACCAGGTAAAACACACCTGATGACAGTGATACAGTGTGATCTGATTCATGTTAGAGTCTTGATGAATGTGTGTAGTTGTTCTTCAGCCTGGGTCTATGTGCCCTCGAGCACCCGCCCCTCAGACATCTCTGCACGGCCCTGGCGGTGATCAGGATGCTCCCTCAGAGGGACACTCACCTGTCCTGTGCAGCTTGATTTGGGGTTTCCAGGTGATATCCAGCAGTCTGCGCTGACGGTCGATCTCTTCCTCGTACTGGACGATCGTTTTTTCAAACTC